GTCTTCATAATATTACGCTAATACTAAGGCATTTGTGCTCCTGATTCTTGACAGCTGGGTAATCTGCAGGTGGATGGGCAGTGTGATCTTCAGACAGCCAGGCCAATGGTCTAGTGCTCTGGGTAGGATTGAGGTGTAAAACTGCACCCCTCAATATGGAAGGCAGTGGTTTTGTCACTGGCCAGGCTGTGAGTGTTCCTGGGCTTAACTGCAGCCTTTAGCACTTGCTGGGGAAGGGTTGCTGGATGATGCTCAGAGGCCTGCCAAGCCACAGAGTGAAGAGATGGTCCCCCAAAAGCAAATCTCACAGAGGAGCAGGTCTCACAAAAGGACTATTGCCTTTTCATCATATGTTGTTTCTTGAAATTTTTCTGTTTTGAACCATTTTGAGGGCAAGTGATGTTAAGTGTCAGACTAAGTTCTGATATCTGCTACATTGCCCGTTTAGCCACATAGAGTCATGTATGATAAATTCTGATTTTATTCTACTAATGAAGGTTTCCTAGTCTCTAAGCGGTGGCATGGATCCAACACAAGACACATTACATTTGTTAAGGACAATTCAAGAATAACCAAATGTCATTGATGGATAAAGACTGCCAGGAAAGAAATAAGGAAGAAAGCAGCTAAAAAAAAAGACTGAATAAAATCTAAAAAAAAAATCACAAAATATATTCAGCACAAGGTAATGAGGAAGAAAACAATCAAAATTCCTGTAAGAAGATCCCAGCATTACCACAAACTGATTGTCACTGAATCTTACCATTTTCTTTCTGAAGTTGCTCTGAAAGAGAAAGCAAGGGTGGGGGGAAATGATCTTAATTTAAACAGGACCAAAACAAATATACATGTTTTTCCTAAACTGTGTCAATAAGCGCAAATGTCATAGGTTAACTTCTTTAAAGGTTTATTATCAGTGCTATTAATTACATGAGTATGTCACTAAAATGTAGAGAGGGAAAAGGATAACAAGGCTTTATTTCAAATGGTAAATGATGGAATAAACTTTAATTTCAATATGTCTAATACTTTAAATAATTTCAGATTCAAATTTTCATAATACCCTAACAACAAATTTAGGAATCATTGCCTCATCATCAATTTCATGTCTTATTATATTTATCACAAACCATCCTAGCATCACAAATGCCCAGTAATTTCAACAAGTATTTGAACTCTATGGACTCATTATTATATGAATTACAAGCAGTATCACAACCAAGAGGAGAGTAAGGGCACATAACTTGCTATTTTTCTAACAGTTATATACTCAACTTTTGTGGTTTTATCTAAAAATTATTTGGCTGCAAATGCATTTTCATGTAATACATCAACTAAATTTTGTGCACCTTCTAGCATTATTTTAGAATTACATAAATAAATTTACATATCCAGTATTGGACAAGTATGTCAAACAATCATGATGCTTAAAAGTATATTTACATTTAAAAATAAGGTAGTGCCTTCCCAGATGGTAGGTAATCTTTTCACCCTATCAGAAAAGCGTTTTTGGTGGAGAGAGATTTAATATCTAGAAGGACCCATTCATCAATTTTATTCTCTCCACATTGCAGATTTCTGTCTGTATAGGCTGTACCATAGACCGAGCGATCTAAGTTTGGTCCCTGTTGTCTCTTACTAAATTGATAGATTGAAGCTTAACTCCAGATGTCTCTGATTAATCTCGAGTTGAGATTTTTTTTTTTTGTATGGTGTGACATGTGTATCCTATATCAGTTTTCTGAAGTCAACATTGCAGTATTTCAGCACCATTAGTACACAGAACTCAGGAGCAATGAGTTCAAAAAATACTATGTAACTTGGAAGACTAAAGAGTGTTATGCTGAGTCAAATAAGTCTCATAAGGACAAATACTGCACAAGACCATTATTGTAAAAATAGAAGGATAACTAGTATGAGGGTCTAATGAGGGAAAGGGTAGGATCAGAGAGGTGAAGATGGATGAGAGGAGGATAGATTTAAAATTTTTTCATTGATTTATATTAGAATATATTGCAACAAGAAATAAAGTGGTTAAGATATGAAGTTACCATCATTTTAGAAAACCTACAAGGAAGAAAATACAAGGAGTATTCTTCCCTTTAGATGTATTCAGTTCTTTCAAAGTAAAGGATAATACTCTGTGCTTGATTTCAACATTTATAAGTTTCTAGTTAGCATAAAAGAGTTATCAAGGAAAATATGCGATGCTATTGCCATTTGGTCATACTTTTCAAATCCAAATCTCTTGCTGACATCAAATTACTTTTAATGTCTATAACATATCAAAGATTCAACTTGAAAAAATTATTTCAAGACATTACATAGCCTTGCTGCTGTACTAATGAAACAGTCTGTATTTTAGAATATTAAAAGAAACAAAAAGAATAGAAAATTTAGGCAACTCTAATCTCTCTTGATGACTCCTTGTTACCCATTCCTCTGACCATCATTATTTCCTCATTATCATGTCATAAATTTGTCAGTCAGTAACCAAAAAGTTTTTATTTGACTGTTCCACAATTGACCTCAAGTGTATTAAAGCATAACTCTCGTATATCAGTAGGAATTCAAGTAATTTCATTTATTCCTGGGTTCAATCTTTTGCCAATCCACCATAACTATACTCATTGTTTTTATCTCACATATCAAGATATGGCATCCCTGAATATTTTGTACTTTCCAGACCTACCTTTCTCTTCCTTAATTTGGTCTTAAAAACAAATTAGAAAAAAAAAAGTTTTAAGAATCAACAGGTACAATAGATTATATGGTGAAGTTCTGACTAATAATAGGTGGGCAGATTAGTGAATCAAAAACATGTCTTATAATTTCTAAAGGAAGACTCCTAATCACTAAGCACTTCGAATGATTATACGACTATTTCAGCCACTAAAGTGCAAGTTTAAAGCAGAAAATTCAGGCTCACATTTCAAGAAACTTGTTCAAACACATTATAAAAATTTGGTTGCCTAAAAGAAGCATTCTTACCCTGTAATTTTGACCAAAACACCTACAACAAGAGCTCTGTCTAATACTTTGTCAGAGCAGATTGACACTCATCTCCCTCTGGACAAAAGGAGCTATTACTAGTACCATGAAGAAAAATTAAGAACTACTACATTTATTAAAGATAATTAAAGAATAAGAGTAATGTAATTGATGGGAGAGAGATACAGGAGAGAGAAATGGACAAGGAAACTTACAACACAATAAAAAAAGAATAAAAACCATAAAAGAGTAAAGTCATGCAAAATTCAATGGAAGTTATTTGCATAGATAAGAGAAGAAGGAAGACAGAAAAATCTCTGAAAGACCATAACTTGTCGATAAATTGAGTAACAGTGAAGCTTACCATTTGCTTTTTTAAGTTGTTCTAAGAAAAAAGTAAAGAAAAAAAACCACAATTATTTTCCAATAACAACAAAAGAATATATCCTCCTTTGTGCTTCCCATCAGATACATATGCCCTCTGATAGCTACTTTGAAAGCTAAACATAAAAATTGTTCTTTTTATTCTATATATATCTTATTGAAATATCCTGAAGGAAAGAGAAAGATAAGACATCAAAACAAATAGTGAGTAGAGAAATAATCTTAATGATGTTGTTGTTGTTGTTAAGTGCCCTCGAATGATATCGTGGATAAAATTTAAATTATTTGTGAATCTAATACTTCACAATGTTACGTTAATTCTAATTTTACCCTAATGAAACAATAGTCTAACTGTCAAAACATTTTCTTATTGTCATCATAAATGCAAAAGTCATCATCATGAATGCTAGTGATTGCAATAAAAGTTTTCTCTATACTGAACTTGGAATTGCATATGATACTAGCAGTATTACATTAGATCAGGATCTGTAACTTGGTAGCTTTTCTAGAGTTGCTATTTCACGGTTGAACTTCGATGTATTTGACTCCAAAGTTGGTTTCATGCAGTAAATTAAGTGGCTTAGTGTTCCCGATAATGTTGCCATCTAACAAAATTTAAAAAATAAATATATAAACAGATTTTCGTCATTACTAAGGTGCGCCTGATCCAGGCTATAGTCTTTGCAATTGAGTGCTATGCATCAGAGAGTTGGACAGTGAATA